TAAATTTATAGTTAATACAAATTTATTATTGTTAAAACAAATCTTACAAATAATTTAAAATTGAGTTATTATTTGAAAGAGAGTTTTGTAATTTTAAAATTCATGAATAGTCTTGTAGTATAATTATTAAAATATACTTAAATTTATAGTTAATACAAATTTATTATTGTTAAAACAAATCTTACAAATAAGCTTAAAATTGCAATAATTGTAATGTTTACTCCAATGTAAAAACTTTATAAACATTTTACTTATAGCTTCATATTTTTGTCACAAAAAACACAGTTTATTCATAGTTTTAGTAGACATTTGATTTGATTGTTACGTTTGTAATAATTTTTGTCATATTTATCACATGTCTGTTTAAATCTTTATTACCGTAACAAATGATTAATAAATGCATAAATATCAATGTTTCAATTGGCGATTGATCAGTTTATTACCAACATCACAACAATGATCAACCTTACGTATAGCTATATCATTATAATTAGCATCGTAACTTTTGTTAATGCTGGTCATATAAAATAACTACTTTATATTGATAATATCAAAGATTTAACGAAATATATGTTGTAACAAACAGGTGGTCCCATCACTGGTTACCAGTGCCCCGTCAAGGACATAGCCGGTGGTTGTGTCGGTCCAACCGAATGCCACTATTCAAACCCCCGGAGCTGCGAGTCGTACATACAGTGTACGGCCGGTGGTGTGGCCTACGAGATGCCCTGTCCTGTGGGTCTGCACTGGAATAATAGGGCCAAACTGTGCGACTATCCAGAAGTGGCCGACTGTAGCGCAGAGTTTGTCTGTCCCGTTGAGGACATTGTCCGCACCCGATGTCTGGGCGAAACGGACTGTGTTTACCCAAAGGCGGGTAATTGTCGCCAATTTATTGCCTGTGAGGTTAACCCCGACGGCCGCACCGGTCGGCCAACGGTTAAGGACTGTGTGCCCGGGCATGGAGTGGAATGATAGGGATAAACGATGCGATTGGCCACAACAGTCCACCTGTCCGTCTAGAGTTAATTAATTATAACGATAATTTTGTATTTTATTATTTTTATTATTTAGTATTTTGTAGTTTATATTGTTGTTATATTATGTTTTAGTTGAACAATCAATAGTTCAATAAATGCTAATATTGTAATTCTGCGCGTTTACTTAAAATAATTATAACTAGGTTAACTAACTTTCAAGCCTAATAAATATAAATTTTAAATATCATTTATTAATTTACTAAATAATAAAAATATGTTTAAATATATAGTAAAATAATTACGAATTTTGTATTGAATACAATAAAACAAGAGAAAATATTTATTTCAAGTTTATTATTCTGTAAATAAAACGATTAATAATTTCCTAAAAATCTATTGATAAGCAGATGATAAAATTTATTTACATTACTTTATTCATAGTGAAACAAAAGGCTTTATCTCACCGGTATATCTATATCAATCAATACCGCTTATATGTATTATTAGGTTAGACATTGACGTTATAAGATTATCTGGATAAAATTTTGATTGATAGACAGTATGGAGTGGTGTAATTGACATTTTATTATCGGACCGTTAAGGTAAAGATGGTATGTCGGTGTAAAGATGCACATGTTGATATGCACTTTGGTCTAAGGTATTAATTGCAATATAGTGTAATCTAATCGCTCAAATATAAAGTCTATGGCGCCCATAAGAAACCAATGGTAGCCGCGATAACAAACAACCGTTGTTTTGTGATGTGGTTTATTGGGTTATCAATTGGATTTGTGTAAAAATATGTAAGAATGTCCGCCATTTTACTTAATTTAATAATTAATTAATTAGTTAGTAAAAAGTTTTAAACAAATAATAAAAATAAAACTAGTTAAACTAGTTAATTAATTTGCAATACAATGGGATACTTAATACAAACGATTGTGTTTGCAATACTAATCACATACACAATCGCGCAGCAAAAAGGTAATTCTAAGCTAGCATAATGAAATATCCATTGCAAAAACTAACCATAGTGACTACTCTCCAGCATTTTACAAAGGTCACACCTGCCCCCAGCGGGACCTAGATCGGACCGGGTGTCGGGGGCCCACCGACTGTCTCTACCCAAACTCCAACGACTGCACCCGTTATATACAGTGCAACTCCGGGGGCGTGGCCTACGACATGCCCTGTCCGGAGGGTCTACACTATAGCACCCGTAGTAAGGCATGCGATTTCCCGCATTTAGCCGCGTGTCGGTCCGATTCATCCCTTTTCAAATGCCCCCGATATGACATATTGCGCACCCAATGCGAGCGCCAAAGGGATTGTCTTTACGCACACCCGACTAATTGTAATGAGTATATTGAGTGCGAGGTTAATCACGATCATCGCACCGGTAGGCCATCGGTCAGACACTGTCCGTCCGGACTGGAGTGGAATGATAACGATAAACGGTGTGATGCCATAGAAAGGTCTACCTGTCCTCTTAGGCACACTAAGGATAGGGATGTAGTGCGTTATGATCCCGATGATAGTTCAGCCGGTGGTAGGACCATTGTAATAGATGTTTTCCATGTGTGCGTTACCATGTTCTTTTTGCTACTATTGATTTGATTGTAATTTTTATGATTAATTTGCATTTCCATTTTTTAAACATGTATAATGTATTTTGTGTAACAATTTTGTTATAATTTATTTGATATTTAAAATGTTCAGTTAAATGAATTTAATTTATCACGAAGTAACCATTGCACTTACTTTTATAATTGTATTTAATTGGTTTAATATAAGTAAATTAAATAAGTTAACTTAAAACTTATAATAAGTTTTAAAATGTTTAAATAACCGTTAAATTGTTATAATAGGTAATAAGAGTTTAATATATCATTTCATTTATATTTGAGTTATCATTACTTTTTATAATCACTTTAATAGTACTTATTGTGAAGTGAAGTTACCTTTAATGTCAATCAGTATATCAAAAATTATAGATAATTAATTAATGTTAATTAATTAAAAAAAACAATATATTTATCGATTAACAAATAAAACCTAATAGAAATTTAAATAAGTTGATAATTTATTTTTTGAAATTTAATTTTTATTTAACTTTAATTAAAATTTTAATTTAAAACGTTATAATATTAATGTATTTAATATGTTTTTAAATGTTTAAATAATTTCAATAAAATGCTCGACAATTGGAAACCAAACACAAGAATATGATTTTGTGATAAAAATCTCTTCATATAATCTATTGAGTTGTTTAACGAATTACCAAAACATATCAGAAATGAAACAAATTTTAATACAGTTTTAAATAATTGTAAAACACTTTACTGTAATTCTTAATTAATTAATTAATTTAAACTCATTCATTGACTCTATTAATTAACATGTTTAATTAATAAAATTATTATTATTACATTTTAAATACTTTACTATTACATTTTCGTATCTGCTAAATAATTGCACAATACTCTAGATTACATAATAACCAAAATTCCGGTTGTGTGTTACTATTAAACAGCAATATAAATAAAATATAAAAGACCATGTATCTATACTTTTATTGTTTATAAAAGATTAGCGAAATTCCTGAGTAGGTGTTTATTAGTTAACATTAAGTTTGGAAACGAAATTATTTGAGATTAAAAAATTCCTATAAGTTATCACAAATTTTGACATCTTGTTACTACAAACCTTATTTTTAATTAAAACAAGGATTTTAACTTTATCTAGGTTCATAACATTTATAGGTATGTAATATTAGTATAAATGAATTATAAAATTAATGTAAAATTAATATAATTTAACTAAAATTTACAAAAACTAATACTTAGGTGTAGGGAAAATATGTTTTGTTAAACTAATTAAAAATAATTAATATAAATTTAACTCTAATTTACAAATGGATCAAATTAAAAAAGTAATTATGTAATTTTTAGAGGATGGGAGTACACTGGGTCTTTAATTGCACAATACATGTTTATCGGTGTCAATAAAATCAATAACAACGGAAAAATTTATTTGAGAACAAAGGTTTGCTGATTATTATGTGAAATATTATGTGATTATTATGTGATGTATTAACACTAATCTTACAAATACTTGAATTAAATTAAAACCATAACCAAAAAGTTTGCGAAATTACTATTGTTTGAGTTTATGATAGCACGGAATTTTATATACACAAATAGTATTTACCATGGGTATAAAGTATGCACCAGGAATATGCTACCCTGGTTATTACAGTAATATTGTACACTTGAAAAGTCAACTAATTATCATGTTGTTTTAAATACCATGGGGTTAAGGCATGTGACTAACCTTTGGACAAATTTCAATATTTAAATCACAAAAGGAAATCATAACTGGTATTAAAAATTGATATAAATAGAGCAGTTGTTAAAACATAAAAATCATAAACAATCATCAGCTACATTAAAGTGAAAATGTACAAGTTGGTTTGCATCGTTATTATTGCTATTTGCGTTTGCCAAATTAACGCAGGTAAAATATAAAGCATTTTATTTATTATAAATTATAATTATGTTCATTGAATACTATGTTAAAGTAGATTATTAAGCTAAATATACTAAACTTCTCTCTCTCTCTCTCTCTCTCTCTCTCTCTCTCGTAGACGACCCGCCGATCCCGGGATACAAGTGTCCGCCCGAAGACCTCCGTAAGGGTTGTGACGAACCGACGTCTTGTGTGTATCAGAACGACAAAGACTGCGCCACTTATATCCGGTGCACAACCGGTGGCTACGCATACCTCAGACCCTGTAGTCCAGGCCTACTATGGAATAACATTAAGAAAGTGTGCGATTGGCCCGAACAGACCACTTGCCATCAATAAATCACCATGGTGCACACCCTAAAGTATCCAGTTAGTTTTTGTTTAGCTAAACATTTAATGTAAATTTTTTTGACTATATAATAGTTGTATTGTTTAAAAACAAAATTATTTTTTTTTTAAATATAATAAAAGCTTTGATGTTTTCATAGATTATAACGCAAATAAATTCTATATTATTTTTATAATTTAATATAACTTTATATTATAATTGACGAAACAATTAGGGAAGAAGACGAAAGAGAGCGAGAGAGAGAGAGCGAGAGAGAGAGAGAGAGAGAGAGAGTTTAGTATATTTAGCTTAATAATCTACTTTAACATAGTATTCAATGAACATAATTATAATTTATAATAAAT